CAAAATTTTTCTCCAAAGAGGATTCAATTCTACTGATTTTTTTCTACAAACTAAATCTTAATTGTGTTCAAGTTGACCCTTCCTGAGTTTGCACCCAGACCAACCTAGTTGGAATTTGAGACGTTTCTAAAGCTACAAGTCACAGAAAATCTCTTGGTTTACTTTCAGAGATGCTTGTCACATCCATCGTGTAGAAATCCACTACTTGAGTTCTCAGAAGCCAATCTTATTTTTCTCCAAGTTCCAGAGTAGCAACTCACTTTGTGTCTATTATAAAACCCATTTTAAAGATGAGCAATCCAAGTTAAAGTGATGCTAGTAAATGGCAGAGCAGAGATTGGATGCCAAATCATCACACTCCAGGTCCAGCATCCTTTCCACCCTGTCACATTTTCCTGGGCTTATTCTAACTCTGTAATTACATATAAAATTTAGACAAGAAGGTAAATCTATTTAGCTTAGTGTAATGGCAACAGGGAAATGTGGTAATATGGGTATGGTAGAAAATTATTAGGATTTGGAGGCTATAAAAAAAAAACTAAACTGAACTGTAAACCCAAGTTCACTGCCTAATATCCTCTTTAAATCTAGAGCAAATATGGCCTTTCTGGAACAAAGAAAAGAGGTGATTTTGTCATGGAAACTGAAGCAGGTTTATGTGACTGTGTGTTTGGATTTAATTTCTACACTTCATTAGGGACACGGTAGTGAACAATGTCTGCTTCCCACTGTACTGATGAGGAGACATGTGACCAGAAATACCTTTCAGACATCAGGGCTGGCCCCATGGCTGAGTGGTTAAGGTTGTGTGCTCTGCTTCAGGGGCCGGGGTTCGCCAGTTCAGATCCTGGGCACGGACCTACACACTGCTCATCAGGCCATGCTGTAGCGATGTCCCATGTAGAAGAACCAGAAGGTGAGCTAGAAGGAGGACCTACAACTAGGATGTACGACTATGTACTGGGGCTTTGGAGAGAAAAAATATATATATCCTTCAGAAATCTGTGAGTGGCTTCTGGGTGCTGCCAGGTTTGCAGACGAAATTCAGGAAAATGTTGATTCTAATGCCCCTCATTGTTACGGCAATTGTATTATAAATCGGGGGTCTTTCTTACGGCTAATGGCATTCGTCTGAAATCCTTCCTGACCCTGAACCCCACCCTATAGGCATCAACCATTCCATCTTCTCTGTAATTCTTGCTCTGATAAGACTTATAACACTTGATGAGCTTATCCATTTATAAGTCTCTTTCTCTGTCTCTTATGAGGCAACAATTAGGTTGAAGCTTTCTGCCTAGCACAGGGTCTGGGCCTTAATAGTCACTCTATAAATACTTGATAAGAGAAAGAAAGCATCCCAATGCAACATATTTTTCACCTTTGCTTTTTATATAAACTCTCCAAATAATGAGTATGTAGCAAGACTTGCCTCTTCTTTCCCATCTCCCACTTGATTCCATTCCATGTTCATACCTGGTGGGAAGCACACCTTTGCATTGAGTCTTGCCACATGACAAGCAATGTTTTAAGTGTTTTGCACATCTCACTCCTTTAACCTTCTCAATACTGCTCTAGACCCTATGGTGTGCCAGCTTTAAAATTAGCTTGGGTTTGGATTCTGCATTCTTTACTACTTAGCTGTGTGACTTCCTGTGTGACTCTCCGTGTCTCGCCTTCCTATTCTATGAAATCATCAGAAGAGTGATGGTACTCAACTCACAGGTTTCATGAACTTTAAATGAGATAGTACATGGAAGATGCTTAGCACATGCCTGGCACAGACTCAGAGCTCCATAGATTTTAGCTCTTAATATTATGCTTGAGAAATGATAGATATTAGCAAATGAGAATCTGTTTGTTTCAGATATTTTATGCTGAAGAATATAATTATCTAGCTAGCATCCTCCACTTCTGTAAATGGAGCCAGGAACACATCCCATAGACCACAGCCTTGTACCAACTATATGGAGTCAGGACCTTGAGGGGTAGAGAGACCTAAAAGAAAAACGAGGGAGAGAAAAAGGCAGGGCCTCCCTGTGAGCCCAAGGAGAGCAATAAAGATACTGTTTGCACCATTCTCTGGCCCCCCAGCATGTTCGTGATCAGCTAAGAGTAAGATTGGATTCTCTCTGGTATGGATTGTGTGGGCTTCCAGACATTGTGCAACATAATGGCACAAGATTACAAATGTCTTACTTAGCTGGCTAAGCAGTTGATCAATAGTTACTTATTGTGTGCCTAGCAAAGCACCATCCTGAAAGCCTATGTCCCCTCCCTTAAAAATGGTCACACATAAGCTTTGTTATAATGCTAACAAAGGTGGGCTAGGAAGCGATTTCCAGGCAGTTCAAGAAGGGATGGGTTCCTGCCAGAAGTGACTCCAAGGTGTAGTCATGGGCATGAGGCAGACTGTGGAGAGGAAATGATGACAAGGCTAAGACATTTCACCGCCCAGAGGTCTTCTGACACATACCATTCAAATGGAAATGAAAACCATGACAAATTAAAGAAAATTAAAGGTTCTTCTCATTCCTTCCCTCTGCAAGATATGTTCTGTGGTGTATGGCCCAGTCAAACAGATCAGAGAGGTCAGCACTTTCCGCTTCCAAATATACATCAGAGTCATGTTAAGGAGGAAGCATGGTAAGCGCTTTTAGAGCCTGAACCACACTGCCCAGGCTCTGCGAGGAGACGGGTTAGCAACCCCACCCTTATGGTGGGGGCTTCCTACTCCATCTCTGTGCAGCTCCTTTCATCTCTACTCCTTCCAGCTCCAGTTCTTGTCAAACCTACGCTGCTTTCCTAGCCTGTATCTTCCAAGTGGAAAAATCACCTTCAATATCTTATGTGGGTATTGTCAGGAGGAAGCGCACTTCCCTCCTGGCTGTATAGTTGTCTGTTACAATACGTTATAAATCAATTATATTTCTACAAGAGGAAAGAAGACAGAAACAGGAAGGGAGAGGACAAGGCTTATCAGATGGAGTGCACGCCTGTTAGGAGAACCTGCACTGGAATGTTAACATGGATTAAACAGGAAAACCTGCTGCTGGCAAGGAAAGCTCAGGTGTCACCAGCTTTGACTGGGTGCTGAGGTGGCGTCTGCTGGGTGACTGCCTGGAGGTTGAAGGTGCACGCTGTCTCTGGCAGGGCAGGGACAAGCTCCAAGTGGTGCAACGCCCATGCTGCTTTGACAACGCATGCAGTTCTGGGGGAAATGGCTCCTGCAGGAGACAGTGCAGGATTAAGGGAACCCGGGATCCCATTGGGAATTATTTCCATGAGGGAAAGAACAGAGCAAAAGATATTTAAGTAACTCTGATAATGATAAAAGGTAACAGATTGAAAGACCGAAGTCCTCCCAAGAACCTCAGTATAGGAGCAATATCTACTGTGCATCCATCTTAACTCCTGCCTTCCATCTAAGGAAGTGTTCACTCATTCATTCATTCATTCAACACTTCCTATGTGCCCCTTGGGATATATCTTTGAAAGATAGGCAAAGGACAGATGATAAATAATAAACATATTAAATAAGTAAAGTTGATACTTTAGGAGATGATAAGTATTATGGCAAAAGACAGAAAAAATAAAGTAAGGGGACTGGTGGGGGTGGGGGTAGTTGACATTTTAAGTACAATGGACAGGGTGAGTCTTATGGGAAAGGATGCATTTAAGTGAGAACTGAAAGCTGTATAGAAACAGCCATGAGGCTATCTGGGAAAAGAGGGCTCCAGGCAGAGGAAACAGGTGGAGCCAAGGCAGGAGTGGGCCTTGCTGCTCTGAGGACCACAAGGGGGCTCTGTGCTGGAGCAGAGAGTGGAGTTGGGGGTGGGGCAGAAGACTGAGGGCCTCGTGGCATCTTGCCTCAAGCCCATTATGAGAACTTTGGTTTTTATGCTGATGGCATAAGGAGGGAATGGCAGCAGTTGTCCCTGAGAAAATGCTCTCTTTCCATCTGACATAGGACTTCTGAGATGCCAGCAAATCAAAGCTCTTGCTGCTACCGCAGTAGAGGACTTAGTATGCTATAGAGATCAAGGTGTGTGTGAGCTGAAAGCGGTCAAGTATCTTTAAGCAGGCTCAGAAAATTCCCTATAATGCAACAGCTTCTAAGTGTTCAACTCCAAATGGGATTTTCTTCTGCCTTGCAATTTTTTCCTTATATTTGTCCTAGAAATGAGTAGTGTAAAGAATAGTGAATTAGGAGAGAAGTCATGGCTCTGCCAACTCTGTCATGTTGGCTAGCCTTAGACTTGTCTTTTCCTTATATGTTAATGAGAATGATGGAACCCTACCCAGTTTACCTCACAGGGTGGGTGGATGTGAATATCACACAAGATAAGCTTGTAGAGGGGGAAGAGAGCGGGAAGTGGTATCTGAGCCCCTCACTGCTCCAGCTCCATTCTGGGAGCTTGATGTGGTTTATTTCTTCCAGTACAAGAAAACCTGTCGAATACTGAAAGATAAAATACAAAAATAGGTTTTTTTCTTTAAGTTGATGAAAATAATTGGGGTATCACTCTGAAGAGGGTTCTTTTTGTGTGATTTTGAGACTAGGGTCTAACCTAGGAATCCCAGGATTAAGATGAAAACAAGTAACTTCTTGTGTATTTTTACTAGAATGGAAATGGTGATTATATCCTAAAGAGTTAGCTCCTTAAAGATAAGGTCTTCTTTTTATTGACCTATTCATGCCTAATAACAGTGCCTTTATGAGATAATGAATAAATACGAATTGATAGAGAAATAATGAACACACAATAAATGAATAAAGAATGGTTGGATAGATGGATGGATGACCTAATGTTCATGATTCTCCATGGGTCTTAGTTTTTTGTTTGTTTGTTTGTTTTACATGACTTTGTCACTTAAGGAGGCCTCTCTGACTCGGGAAATTTTTTTTTACTTAAAGAATGAGAATTATAAAAATAAGTTCTAAATACACGGAAAAATGTACAGGAGATATTATAGCATCTGCTCCACTGATTTCATTCTAGGCAACACTGAAAATTGGACTTCAAGTTGAACTGAAGATGTGGCCAATGCTTTTCTCCCTCAGTGAAGTTCATCTTTTGAAGCCGTGATGAGAATGTGAAAGGCAGCACCTGGGTCCATTTCTACATGTGCAGAATGCTAGGAAATTTCCCCTATGTACCGCCTTCTTGCCTTCACTTCTTCCTCTTCAGCCTTTTTCTCCTCTTCCTTTAATTATTGAAATATGGTACTCTTTACTATAATAGCTGCCCCTTCCACAATACATCACCTTATTTTGCTTTTCCTGAAGACTCCCAGGTATCTGTCTGTTTGACCTGTTTCTTGCCCTGACCCCTGTCTCTTGCTCTGCTCCACTACAATTCCTCTCCATTCTTTATTCTCGTGTTCAGTTTTGCATGTTTAATCTCTTCCACTCCTTTCAGGTATCTCTCATAAAGGAGTTTCTGTTGGCTCACAACTTAGTAAGTTTTTATTTCAAGTGTGTGTGTTTTCTGTCTCCTTTTATTTTTAATTCTTAATGAGGAAGCTTTAATGTATTTTAGTAGATGATTGAGGAAAAAAGCCAGTCTAACCATCTCTGAGAAAAGGGTCAATATTATAAGTTTTTGAATTTACCCTATAAACTAAAAAGTAAGGCTTGTGTGGGTCTGAATGTGAAGAAAGCTTGGGGCTATATTTTTGAGACAACCTGGAATGAAAATGGGCCTCATTTTTGATGTTCCAATTAAATCAGGGGAGAATTATTGAGCTTTTCAGGCTCCTCTGAAGATCCTCTGTGTGCAGTCACACTCCTGGCCTGGGGTGGGAGGTGGGCAGTTAACCAGAGATGGTACCTGAGTAACGTGCATACTTGCTTATAATGACGAGTACCCTGAAGCATTATCAGTGATGAGCATTTTGATCTGTTTAAATCTTTGGGAACTTGAGAGCTGGAGATGAAGAAAAAATAAGTGAATCTGTTTCCAGACCAACCTACTTTCAGCCAAAGTCACATCTCAATCTTTTGTCATTTTCTTCCATCGTGTGGTTTTGCTTCCTCATTTAAGCTATCATTTCCAAAGACAGAAATGAACACCAAGTTAGGAAAGGTAGAATCGCATGGCCTCTGTGCATAATCCCTGGATTATGGTCCCAGGTGAGGGTAGAGTAGCTACACCAGAGAGGATGTGATGGATCCATTTGTTGCTTCAGTGAAACCAGAAGCGATGGAGAATATCCAGTGTAAGAGAGCTCTTATCCTTTGAGTATCTTGCTCCTATTTCCTTCTATTATCCTAGAGAGAGAATTCACAATTTCATAGCTGTATCCAAAAAAAAAGCGTAACAACCAACAGGTGAATGTGGGAAGTAAAGCACACAGGCATTTTGACCAAAAATGAGAAAGAAAATTTTAAAAACCAGGCAAATAAAGGACTAAGGGATGGAATAAAATATGTATAGTAGCTGTAGTTGTTTCTGGATAGGGGGCTCTTGGGAGACTTTTTATCTTTTAGTTCATCAGTATTTTCTCCAGTATTTTTTAAAAAACTATGTAATTGTGTAATTAAAAATAGTAAATTTTTTTTAAAAAAAGGAATGCAGTAAAAATTGTTGAAGTATCACTAACTTCTTACTAATGTCCAAGTGACTCCAGCAGTCTTAATCATTTGGAACAACACCTTTGTAACACATAGATGAGATTGAAGAATGCAGTTGCATGTTCTGATGCTAAGTGCATTGACTTTAGGGTAATCTGTGCAATTCTAAGACAGCTTGATTTATGAACTAATTAATGGTACACAACAAAAATACTTATAGAAACTTACTCTACCCTCAGCCTGAAAACCTCCAAACAACAGGAAAATGGGTTTTGCATGTTAGAAAATTAAATTCAATATATATTTATGAGGCCATTCAAAATGTGGAGTCCTTTCCTACTAAGTCCCGAGTAAGCAGAAAAGTCCATGTATCAAAACCTAATTGTGCCAGAGTCTAAGGCTTAGGGAATAAATTAAGTCTTAAGCTACAAAAGACATTGGACATTAATTCTAGATCTTATTATAGCTCTGATGATATGGGCATTAATAAATCCAACAGGAAGCAAGAAAAAGGCAAAACGACAAATAAGACATACCTATTGGTTTTCTTTGGCAAAATGTTGATTGTTGATAATTCATTTAAAGTTACGCAGACATTTCTGTGCGCTAGGGTCGTTGTTCCACCAGCTTGTTAATAGGGACTGAATAGAGTGTTGGATATTTCATAGATTTTTGGTGTCCACTTCTCGTTTCTGAGGTAGAGAGGGAGTCGAAAGGATTTAATACTATGTAAAACATTCAACATTCATCCCACAAACATTTACTGAGCACTTTGTATGATAAAGTGGTCTTGTAGGCTGTGGGTAAAATTTGATTGGCATTCAGAAGAAGGAGACAATATTTCAGGCTGGAAAGAGAATTGTCTTCAGAACTGGCCTTTGAAATATCTCTAGGACTTAAAAATACAAAAATGTGGTTTGGAAGGCTTGCAGGATAAAGAAGCAATATGCAAAGGCACAAAGGTGGGAAAATATGGGGCATGTAGTGGAAATAGTAAGGAACTTAATTGTGTGACACAGTAAGTTTCATGCAGGCACATAATGAAGATAACACTGGAAAGGTCATCGGAGCCAGATTATGGTTAAGCCAAAAAACTTGGACTTTATTTGGTCGACATGCTGTTATTGAACGAATTTTTATTGAGCACCAATTAGGCGCGTGGCCCTATGAATAGATATGCTACTTATTCTCAAGGAGATTGCAGTTTTCTGGGGGTAATATCGCCATGCAAAAAGCAATTTCAGTTCAAAATGAAAAATGTATGGTAATACAATAAATGCAGGGTCTCTGCAGATGCATTACCAGGGCATCTAATATATTCTTGAAGGGTCAGAAAAAGTTTATTGGATAGATGACCTTAACTCTGAGGTCTGAGAATTTAAACAAGAAAATATGGAACAAAGTCATCTTGTGTTTGAAAAAACTGGAATCATCTCAGGAAGGCTGGAACTTAGATTGTGAAAGGAAGATGAGAGTAGCTGAAGAAGAGCTTAGGTAGATAAGCAGGGAACAGACCATGAAAACGTTTGCAAGCTGTGGCAAACCTTTCTACTCACTGAAGTCTTGTTGCCCTCTTTATCTGGGCACATGGGGGACTATACTGCTATACTCCTTGAAATTAACCACAGCCATGTGATTTCCTTTGGTTAATAGAATGCATGTGGGAAGAAACATTTAATTATTGATGTTCAACTCTATGTCTAGTTCTGCTGTCAAGAAATTATAAAAACGTGTTGACATGGAAAAACAACATGGAGCCATCATGTGGAGGATGGTTTCCTTAGACAGTTATTTGAACCCATAGCAGACTTTGTGCGAATGAGAAATAAGGGCATTATTTTAAGGCAGTGAGTCATTCTGGATTGTATATTATTTTGGCAAATCCTAGCCTGTCCTCATTGATGCACAGGTCATAGTTAAGAGTATGGATTTTATTATGAGGTCGGTGAAGACTAATTGGAATGTTTTGGTTTTTTTTTAATAGTAGGGCAGTGGCACATGTGCTCAGAGCTTAAATTTGTTTAGTCCTCATTTCTCTCAATGTCTCTACAGCATTTAGTACCCTTTCCTTCAAGAAAGTCTGTTCTTTTTTAGCTTCTGTGACACAGCAATACACCTTCCTATGCTCATTTTCTGTCCTCTCTTCCTTTCCTGCCCCCTAAATACATTATGGAGCTTCTGTTCTCAGCTCTCTTTTCTGGGTAGTCACTTTCTTCACTTCAACTACCACCTAGAATTAGGTGATTCCCAAGCCCTGAATGCTGTCTTGATTTCTTCAGTTGCAATTGGCTCATGGACTGAATTCTTCTTTCCTTCCCAACTCATTTCTCCTACCATATTTCTTATTTCTATTAAAGGCAACTTAGTTCGTCTAGTACATTAGTCTGGAAAACTTAGTCATGCTAGACTCTCCCCATAGTTTTCACAGCTAGTCATTCAACAAATCTTGTAGATTCAGTCATAATAATATTTCTCCTATATGTCATCTTTCTTCTAGTCCACTGCCAGTATCCTAATTCTCACTCTCATTAACTCTTGCCTTGATTATTGAACATATCTTTCCACTTTCCTATAAACTGAAATGAGACTGGTCTTTCAAAATTTCAGCCTCTAAAAGCACTCAACATGCTTCCTCCTTAATGTGACTCCGATGTATATTTGGAAGAACTTGCAGAATATTTAATTCCAGTTGATGTCTATATTTTGAGGTGATGTTGGCCAAGGCAGCATCTGAGGATGCATGGAATTTATCTCAGGAACATGTTTAGGGCCTGGCCTGGCTGAGGAGAAGGTAGGTCCTTGCCCTGTCATAATAGGGTGAGCACAGGGAAGGCACCATGTGCTATTTCCAGTCTTATGATTAGACTCGAGGAGCAAAGGGACCAATTTCCCTTACCTCCCCAGCCCTACCTGTGGGCACCAACAGGCAGTGCCTGACCACTGCAGGGCAAGGAGGAGCCCCTATACTGCTGTGGGATGATGGCTACACTTCCCCAAAATTAAGTCTTTAAGTCAATATCTATGCCTTCAGAATGTGAATGCATTTTCCCACCATACTATTTGTCCAGGGTTGGGCCAAAAGGCAAGAAATGAGATTTCACCAATGAAGATTTCAGGAGCACCCACTATCTATGAAGTACATCATTCTTCTGAAAGGTAAAGGTATTTTTTTTATCCCACAAATTTTTGGCAGCCATGGCTGCAGGGGGTGAGGCTGAGCCCTGACTAGAGAATGCAGCTGCAATGATGCCTCTGTACACACTGGCCTCTCTGAACCTGCTCTGTTCTTAGGCAATTTAGGGAAACGGAAGCAGCTAACTAGTTGCCAGAGCTGGAGCACACCCTGTGACTTTCTAGGTCATTACTCCTGTGATAAATTGTTGCATTTAAGGGTTTCATCGGAATGTGTCCTCTTCATTAAAAGAGATATTACTAGGAGGATGTCATTATAGGGCCTCAGGAACAATAGATTCAAAGCCAGGTTTTTAGCCAAGTAAATCCTTGGTCCTACTTCTGCTGGGCATATATGACTAACTTTAGTTATTTTTACATAGCATGTGTCTATATCACCTTATAGCAGGGTACATCAAGTTGTGCCCTAAATATCACAAACGGCTTCCCAGAGAAACTCAGTAAGTACGTCTTAGGAGTCAGACTTGCTGACAAGGAGAGACACATATGACTTAGCGAAGAGCTAAAAGTCTGTGTGAGGACTGAACGTGCTGCTCAGAATCCTAATTGTAGGCTTAAACCTGGCTCTCTCACACGGGGAGAGTTTACTTGACCAAGAAAAGGAATGTTGTCTTGGAGAAGCAGGAGGCTTCTCTGGGAACCTTAACTACTCAGATTATAGGTCCAGATCTTTAGTGGAAAAACAGGTGTATAGGGACTTGCGTTTTTCTTTTTCTTTTCTTTTCAGGGACAGCTTATCTCATTGACCATTCACGACATCAGGCCACACAGAAAGCACATCTATTTGTTCACAAATATTTTCTGGTCTCCTCGAATGCCCTGGATGCTGTTCTGAGCACTGGAGATGGAATAGACAAGGAAACAAAGACCCTGATCTCAGGAAGTTTAAATTCCACTAGGGGAGTCAATGTAGCTAAATGAGCATACGTATGTAAACTTGTGTACACAGGCAGTGCTGAGTGACGCGAAGAAAAAGAAATCAGGGAAGAATAGAGTGAAAAGGGTGCAGTTTGGTCAAAATTCTCTTTGAGGAGATGACATCTGAGCAGGGACCTCAGTGAAGTGAGGCATAAATTGTATGGAAAACTAGGAGAAAAGTGTTCCAAGGCAAATAAAACATCAGATACAAAAGTCCTGAGATATGAATATTTGTGTATTTAAGGAACAAATACAGAGTCTAGAGAGAGAGCAGAATGAGTGCAGGGGGCAGTGGCGGGGATGAAGAGAGTTTTTCACAGCACTTATCATCCATGAGATATGGAATTTTTGGGGTTTTGCTGTTGTTCCTTGCCAGTCTCTCGTCTGTGGCAGCAGGGACTGTGTTATCTTCACCTCTGTACCTCCTGTGGTGGTAACCATGCCTGACACATAGTAAGTCTAAAACAGGCTTTGGAGTCAGAAAGTCTTTATTGCAAATCCCACTCCACTACTTAATATCTGTACATTCTGGGCAAAGCATTTAAACTCCTTAAGCATCAGTTTTCATATTTGAATTGATACTAAGAAGCCCAAACAGGAAGGTTGTCAGATGGAGGAAATTCAATACACCATGTAAAGCCCTTAGGCCAGAGCCTGTTGATGGTAATTGCTCAATAAATGGTGGTTGTAGCTGGGTTATAGATGGTTGACAGAGTTCTAGTGGCTACATAAGTGTCTGAGGGACACGATGCTGATCTCTAACTTGTAATACCTGGAAAATTTGTTTGGCAGATGATAAATAATTTGGGGGGCTGCTCTTTCTAGTTTATCACTTCTTAAAAATCTAACAAGTCTCCTTTGTTGGTAGCCATCACATGGATCATAAACTAAAATGCTGCTCAGAATAGCATACAGTCTTTGGAAAAGATCTTTTATTTGGTCCTAGATGGTTGGCTAGTGTGAACTGGGACTACGTTCTGCTTTCAATTATAACCAATTTCCCTTGCTCCCTGAGAGGTATGAGGGAGAGCAAATAGCACATTGTGTAGTAATTGCTGGTTTGCTGGTTTAGACTGAAGGCCTTTGGGTGGTTTTCAAATGGCTGTTTGATATTCATTATTGAATTTCTACCACCTGAGGTGCATTTACCATAAAACGAGCATAGTTTAGGCTTCAGCTTCCTCACCTGCATTGTCCCTTTACTTGGGGACTCTGACAAAAATTCACATGGCCATTTATTTTTAGTAAAATTTGCAGAAGACATTTTAACTACAATCAGTTAAACTTACAGATCTTTCCCCACTGACTTTCCCTCTGTCACACTCTCCCTCATGTTGAGTAGTGTTATGGCTAGGAGTGATTTTTGGATTCAGCTAAGGGAGAGTTGAGCTGTATCTATATTCAAATTTAGTTTAATGAGAAATATTTATTTGGTTCACGTTCACTTTTTTCTATAGCTGTATTATTGCTTGCTGATCCAGTCCAAGAACAACTTCCAAATATAATCCTACTGCCTCCTGTGCCGACTCATCTGGTGTTGAGATATAACGATGAAGGACCAGAGGTTGTGCTTTGAAATGAGTCTGTTCCTATGGCTCCAAGCAGGGGAGGTGCAGGGGAGGAGAAAAGAAACATGGTTTGCACTGTATCATGCCAGAAGTTAGTCTACAAAAAATTCTCCCAAGAATCAGCTGTATAAAATCATAGAGTGTTTGGTTCTCATTGCTGGAACCAAGTCAAAAGAGAAGTTCTCTCTTTGATAAATGTTTTCCCAAATTTGATGGCAATTCTGAAATTTTATACTAACATAATCAATAATGGGTTGTGAAGCTGCAAATAAAAAAACATTTCAAATTGCCAATTATTAGAGACGCATTTTGATCAATGATGCTGAAGGAAAGACTAAAATATCTTTCTTTTCTGTCTCAAGAAGATGATATTATAAAATCATTGTCATTGAAAAGGTGATCGAGGAATATGCAGCCAAAATTGTTAGGAAAAGATATTATAGAGGTGTGAAAGGCAGTTAATTAATAAAAATGTTATGCTATTTTTCTGGATTTTGTGATGCTTGTGATAATTGTTGGCTTTAACATTTTTTTTTCATTTGTGTTTTCCCATTATTCTAAGTTGTGTTCTCTTTTTGACTTAATTTTACATTCTTTTCCTAAAATTATATAAGCTTCAGGATCCACAAAGCTAGATCTACTCCTGCCTACTACTTAGCATGACACCTGGCTCATCTTGGGTGTTCATTAAATACTTAAGTGAATGAGTGAAAAAAACACATGACCGGAAGAATCCCTTTTTCTTTTTGGACCTTGGTCTCTTTATCTGCAAATTAATGGAGCTAGGGTAAGAGAGTTGAAGGCCATATCTAACCAACGTTCTCTTTTAGTTGCTGTTGTTTCTAACAGTGTTTTGGAATTTTCTTTGGCAAGGAGGAATCACATTCCATATGCTGAATTTGCGCATGCAATCTTCGCCCTTTGACTGATCACCCGAGCCCTGGTCTCTATTTTAGTGTCCTAACCTGCTACCCAAATCAAACACTTTCTGTGCTGTCTGACTGTATTATTCAGTATTTCCATTCCCACCACACACTCAAACTAGAATGCTCTGATGCCATTACAGGGTCAGATTTTGAGCTCTCTAATTCTCAGACACTTTTGTCAAATCCATCTCTTTAGTCCACTGCCTCATTTCCCCAAAGAGAATTAAAAATAGTATCTAAGCATCCCTCCTCTCCCACACGATTCTCTTTAAAGATGACCCACAGGGATGTAAGAGCTGAATGAGGACTGACACTTATATCTTAGCTCCTATTAGCAAATTCAAAGCAAAGAATCACACCACACAGAAATCGTGCTAGCTTTTTTTTTAAGAATACCAACTAAATTCATTAAACAGTCCCTTTATGTTGAATTTTCCATCAGCAGAACATCCTACACACTTTTACTGAGAACATCTGTGAGAGTCTGGAACGTGTTTTTTGCCAGCGTATGACTTAATGCTTACTCTCAGTATCAGACACTTCCTCAGATCCTGTGATATATCTTAGTATAGTGTTACTGAAGAGATGTCAGTTATGCTTGTATCTTGAATAGTGTCAATTTGGATTGAAAATGCGCCAGTTTTCTTACTAACAGAGTTTTTAATTCACTAGCTGATAGTGTCAATTATGCCGTCCATCGATGGCTCCAGACCTACAGTTGAATACGTCTTCTTTTATTAAAGTTTATAGCTCCTTTAGCAGTAAACAATTATTTTTCAAAGTAAATGAGAAACTCAGAAACAGCACAAAAGTGACTGATTTAGGTTTGCCTCTCAATATATAACTATCTGCCTAGTTATGTAACTAGGAACTCTAGTTACGTTATTTATTCTAAAATTCCAGTATTTTTCATGATCTGTATTCATGTTGTACTGTTCATATGGATTCGTTTTAGCAGAATGTCTTGAGGGTGGAAGAATGAGGACTGTACCTTTTTATTTCATACAGTTTTAAATATGCTTCCACTTAAACAGTTTAACATTTCTATTAGTCTGGCTCATTTATTGTATGTATTGCCCATACACAGGCTGACATCCGAGAACTTGTCCCCCAGTATGAAATGAATCACTGTGCTTTCAGGCTAACACTCACTGAGAAACAATAAGGATTTCTTTCCTTGATCTGCTCTTTTTCAGTAACTTGTTGCCCTCTGCTTGGTGCTCTGAGTAATAGGCATACGCCAGAGGTTGCAAGGGCAGAGAGGAGACCTGCGAAGAGCCGGATCTCAGCAGGAAAAGGCCAGAGGAGAGGAAGTCATTTTATAATTTATCAAAATAGGAATACTCGGACTACAGGTTTTATGAAGAATGAAACGTTGCCTTTGTAAAAAATAAAAAGATGAAATTCACATTTTACTTAGATTGAAATAAATGAAACAAAAATTTTTTGTTTTCACCAAAAAAATCACAACACTATTTTATCAATTGCCTGTCAATAAACTACAAATTTTTTTTTGCATTCTTTTTGCAAGCTATGTCAAGATGAGGCATGGCAAAAGATGGCACAAACACAGACAGAAGAATGACAGTGTCCAGGAATCTTGTTTCTGTTCCCATGATGGCTGTAAAGCAAGTATCAAATATATACTTTCTAACAAGCTTGTAAAACAGTTTGCGTGTAGGCTCAACGAAGGACGGGATGAAGTAACAGCACCCAGATTTGGATTCATTTCGGCTGGGTACCTGGTGAATGCTCAATAAATATTTATTGAATGAATTCAGTGACCTAGAAATGGAGGTCATATCTCTTTCTTGATGCTGGATCATAGATATTTCCAACCACTCATGCTGAAACACGTTTGCTAGAGTCTTTGTGTCCCCTACTCTCTATCATCCCTGAAAGTTTGTTTCAACTGTGGGAAAGCTAAGAACTCTCTTATTTCAAGATTTTATGGTCAAATGATTTAAACTGCTGTTTACTTAAGGAAAAAGGAGAAGCCCTCTTCCAAGTCTTTGTTGGCTGTGTTTCATTCTTCGCAGAGAAGAATCAGACTATGTGGAGGGCAGAGCTAGTTTTCCTCTTGTTTTCGCTCTTCTCTTGGGAAGGGGGTTGGTGTCAAACCTTATACTACATAAACCGTGTGGTGTTCTCTTCTCCAGCTGTCTCTGCCTCATTGCAAATGGATGCATATAGTCCTGTGAGGCTTTGGATCTGCATTAGTGGTTGGGATGCTAAGGCTAGTGTCTCACAGGCAGTTTCAAAGTTACCTTTTATGAGAACACTAAGGACAGCAGGTGTGCCGCAAGTACTCCAGGGGTGGGAGGGAGGGAAGACAGAAAGGGAGCTTATACAAGATCATAAAAGCAGAGTTTCAAGGGTGTTTTTTCTGGAGTTTTTGAAGGCCATGTATGATAAATAAAGCACTGAATATCCAGCCCCGTAGGTTGAGCATATGTTAAGAATAAATACCTAATTCATGTGTTACGGCTAAACACCCATCCAGGGAGGCTCATTAGCAAACAGATTAATTAGGATCCTGTTTACTTTTCTACTGTCAACAGTTGTTTGTTTCAACTAACCCTACTCTACCTTCATTAAAGTGAAGCATCGCCAGTCAGCGTAGGGAAATAGATTTCAATTTTATAAGAAATCTAGGACCCACATAGAATTTCTATTTCTCTACGTATCTTCAGATCATTCAATATTTTAAATATATGAACAAGGCAAGAGGTTTAACTTAAGTTAACAGGAACTGCAAATTACAGTACCCCTTCTGTGGATATTCATTTATTCATTCATGTATGGGTATTAAGGATGCCCAGAACAATAAAACACGACTCTTGTTTTCATGTGGCTTACAATCTAGTAGAATAAGGAATGTAAACATGTAAAACAGATATGACCCCAGCCTCACCATCTTGTGGGTACAAATGAGGGTAGGATTATGTAAACACCCTAAATCTCAAAGTTCTAAGCCAGTTGTCAGCAAACCACCACTCAAAGGTCAGGTCCAGCCTGCCACCTGTTTTCGCAGAATTTTATTGGAGCACAGCCCTGCCCATTCGTTTACTTGTCTGTGGCTGTTTTTGTACTGCAATGACAGAATTGAGGAGTTGCAACAGAGAACATATAGCTCACAAAGCTCTTTACTACTTGGCTACTTTACAGAAAAAGTTTGCTAAGCCCACCAGAATGTTCGAGGGTGCTTACCTGTTAGTCCTGGTCATTGCTTTGAGGATGTCCTTCTGGGAGAGCTGCGAGTTTGCATGTGCCCTTTGAGGCTGGCCTTAGAAGCTGTTGGCCTCCAAACAGCCTGCAGAGGTGCCACTGCAACAGGATCATCCACTCCTGCTGGCTTTGGCAGCCTGGATGCCACAGCTTTTGCTGCCTCCACTGCACTGGCTACTATGTTGCAAAATGTCCTAGTTTGCTATTGGTAGAACCAGAAAACTTGTCAACCTTATAGGGGGCTGCCAACCAAGACAGAACAGGCCCTGAGAGCCTCTTGGGGATGTGCCTACCTAATCAAGTTACTTGGGTGGGCCTCAGCAAAGATTCTCTGATTGCTCCAGTTGGCCAGGATCTTGGGAAGTGAGAAGAGCGATGCTGTTTGTTCTCCATTTGCCCCTGCCGACCCACCCTCCACTCTTCTCCATCTGCTCTATACCTTGGGTAATCCTTTATGGCTCCTTCACAGATCACATGAGTAGGCTCCTTTGTCCTCTTGACTCCTGTTGGGTTTGTCCAATGGGAGGAACTAGCAGGAGACTCAAGGACAAAGGAGAATAGGACATTTTTCTCCAAGATCCCCTCCTGAAGGATGCAGGTTGGTGGAGGCTGGTTCCTCTGCAGAAGCTGCCAATCTCTCCAGGTTCTGGTGACAGCTCACTTCCTTCATCTTTCAGTGCTGGGGAAGGTAGCTGTTTCCGCAA